ACTGTATATATGGGCTCTTTTGGAAAAATGCATTAACCAAAAATAAAAAAATTGGTTCTTTGTTCAAAAAAGGTTCCCGACCCCTGACCTGTAATAAAATTAAATATGACAAGCACAACTCTGCCTTTTTTGTTAAATGTCAGTTTTAATGAACAATATAGCCATTATAAAAGAATAAGTATAAAGTATAAAATACTTACGTAATAGGAAATAAAGACAAAAGCAAACAATTCAGTAAAATGTATGCAACAAAGACAGCGCTGTATTACGATTAATAAAAAAATAATTTATATTATTTACATATAACTTTGTGCTCAGCCAAACATAACTTTGTGCTCAGCCAAAACGATATGACCTGGAAGAAATAATAGATTCATGAGACCACAGATTGCCTGTTAAGACTTACCCAAAACGAATTTTACCTCATGTTTAACCGCTAAAGAGACATCAGAGACAGCGGCAAATGTCAGAAGGACTAGTCAAGGTGAGGCTGCTCTCGGTGGATACATGAGCACTGAGCGCCCGGTGATCGTGTGGAGCTACGTCTCCAAAATCGGCGAAGCAAATTTTCAAATAGGAGCTATCTTTATAAATAAACCGCAGATTTGAGTTTTAAACAACTACATTCTCGCCTGAAATACTCTTAGAACTGCATTTCATGACACGATAACAGTAATATTTTGAAATTATGAGGGTTTTCTCCTCCGCCATTAACACTCGCTGGTTGGTGCGAAATGCATTCTGGGATACCAGGCTGCCTCAAGTTCGCACAAGTCACCTCTGGAATGGATGCATCCTTGATAAAAGGGGCGGAGCAAGAACACATCGGGGATTTGAACCGTACTTGGCTAGATGTGAACATACCCCTTGTCCAAATACCCACACTTGCGGTCTTGGGCTGCGTTCCAGTCCATTTTTTTAAGCCCTTCACTCGCAAACTTCCCTCCGTCTCGTTTACTCGGATGTACGTCATTGATTACGTTGCATGAGTGCCCACTACTGGCGGAACCCTTGGAATGTGCTGAACTGGAACAACCTAAGCACTTGATCACTTAGAATCCGCTATGGAGTTGGTTTATTGTTTACGTTTCACCTTACGAATTTGTTTGGTGCAGCATTCTATATGCATATAGATATGCTTGGGCTGTTATAAATGTAAAAAAAAATATTCATATATTATAGAGTTGTTTGGGGTGGGGATAAATTAAACGTGATATGCGATGACGTCATAGTCGTGTTGCATTGTGGTCTATGGAGTGGCCTGAAGTGTGCATATGAAGCAGACTGGCTCCCTCGGTCAAAATCGAGGGGTCGAGGGTATGTCCATGTAAACTTCCCTCATCCACTTGACGAAGTGGAAGCATTTCAAAATGGCGGCAGGGATTCCCCCGAGGGTAAGTGCTTAGGAAAGTTTGCGAGTGCATGTCTAAAATGCGCGTTTAATTTATTATTCACGATGGCACCGACGCTGATGGCTGCCTCCGTGGCGTGCTCCGCTGTTGTTTTTATGTTTTGTTAGTTTGTCCTGTCTTTAGTTATATCGCTGCAATCAGTTTCACCAGAGACGAATTGCTGGACATTCGGAAGTACACACCACCCGATATTTCACCGGTTTTCGACTATTCTGATGTTTTGCTATCGTCCGCGTCCCCGGAGCTGGGCAGCCCGTTGATGAAATGCATTGATCGTGCATTGACCTAAGTGAGGCTGCTCCACGGGAGGCCCCATTACAAATGCTGAATCCATACTCCCTGGCCTCCCCTAATGACCCTCTTGAATCCTCTAGTGAACGGTTTCTGTCCGGCGAGGCTGACGGTCGTGCCGTCCCGTCGAGTATGTTCTTCTGATGAAGACTGCCCTGGAGGACACAAATGCTGTCGATTTGACTCTGGGCCTGTTTGCGTGCTGCCTGTTTTCAGTGAGTTCCAGTTAATAATGGACACTAAGGGTCAAAAAAACAAAAAAAAACACGAGTAACACTGAATTCAATGTAAGTTAAGAAGATACTTTGCCTTTTGCTGTTCTCGTCTAAAGTAGGTTTGAATTCATCCCTTAGGATAGTTAAGCACAGGATGGCTTTACAAAATAAAGCGGAATAATGCCTAGAACAGTGGTTCCCAAACCTGTCCTGGAGGACCCCCTGGACTTTTTGTATGTCTCCCTAATAAGACACACCCAATTTAGTTCTTGCAGTCTCTACTAACGAGCTGATGAGTGCAATCAGGTGTGTTAGATAAGGGAGACATACAAAAGGTGCAGGGCAGGGGGGCCTGCAGGACAGGTTTGGGAAGCACTGTCATGCTTCGAGTGTTTCGTGCTGTATATTGAAGTGGCATATGGTCTATATATGCACAAACTAAAGCTGATTATCTTTGTCCACGCAGTGAAGCCGGATCACTGTCCCATACCGGAGATGATTCCACTGTGTGCTGAAAGCTGTTTCCATGATGGCCAGTGTCCTGCCACACAGAAATGTTGCCCAACCACTGGTGGCTTTGCATGCAGTGAACCACGTGGTCAGGGAAGAGGTCAGGC